CTATTATTGCAGGCAAATGCACAGGAATACGAAAAACTGGCATATTTTCATTATAATTTGTTTATATAGTAGTATACCCAGTTATTTTTCACTATTAATCCTTTTAGTTTTTACACTTCCCATTTTTTATGCTTCAGTAATTATCCCATTTAGTTTTGGCTAATGAACTTTCACAGCGTGCTATTACATGCCTACATTCCCAAAAGTTAGTAGGTATCTAAGTATGTATGCATATGTCGTTGGCCTCTAAGCAGTTTTGCGGCCTGTTGCACATTAAATTTATGAGCAGCTATCAGCGACTGCGCAAATTTAAATCGCTATCAGTTAAAAACTATACACTTTTTTAACAATCCATCATTTATTATCAGCGAAACAGATGTTGCTGCACCTTACGCACAGGTAGCCTCCCTTCGCATTACTTTTTTAACTTGAGATACTTTGCTTAAAGAATATGTATCAGCATTCATTTTGTTATATGTATTGCCGACTGGTTAAATTAGTGAATGATGACGGTGATCAGATGGTATCAGATTGCCGGATCGTTAGGATTAGCAAGCTTGATTAAGCCTGGAATTGGTATGACCCGCGACTACGTGCTCAAAGCGCCAATGTTTCTATTTGACTACTTGGACATAATTCAAATCACAAATATCTGAGCATCAATAAAAAACAACTCTATAGCTGCTGCGATAGCAACCGCGCCGCGCACAATCCAAAATACATACACCTATTGACAAGTAAAGTATATTACATACATATGTACACAGCATAGTAGTTTGTAGAATTATATGTGATTGCGCATATGTGTATCGTCTCATCCGCGAGCTGCCGCTGATATACAATTGTAACTAGGAGTACAAGACTATAGCACTGAGTGCCTGATGAGAACAAGAGCGTTATAGCAGAGCCGCTAGGAGGTATGGGTTGAATAAAATAAAAATGCATTATTACATTAAAAAAAAGCGGCAGAGAGCAGAAAAAACTCAGCAGCAACAAAATTTGAATCGAAAAAATAAAGACAGAAAACAAAGAAAAATTCGAACATTCGCCAACGAATGTCCGACCCCTATCGCCACCACATACAAGAAGAAGATAGCAGCATTGAAGCGCTGCCGCCAATGCCAACCGACAAATTGTGCTGCTGCGGTTGCTGCTTTCTTGCACTGGCGCAGCGAAATGCCGAGGCAATGGTATTCGGCCTACCCGCTGATTTCTCTGTGTGTGTGACTTGGGACAAATGAGATGTGCGGTTAGCAGCATTTGCCTCAATTGGAATGATTATGACTTTTTACGTGGCCTTTGTTTAGTGCATAAGTGTGGGCCAAACAAATGCTACCAAACCAGAAATTGTTCTTTTCGAAGGAAGAGAGTCTTTCGAAGTTATAGCTGTGTAAGAGCCTCTCTGAGTTTTGTTATTTCTGAACTCGATCTGAGATATTCGGTCTGTTTTGGCTCCGCAGTTTCGAACATCACACACATTCTATGCGTGTTTTATTCTTATTGTGTATCCATGTGAAAATACGTATCCATATACGTTCGTTGAATGCATGCGTGTGTGAACTGCATTCGAAACTAAATTTGAGATAGTGTTTAAACAAGATCGCACTTAAGGTTATCTCCCGTACAGATATACATATGTACATACATATTTCGAATTGGTTGTCCGCGGAATGTCCAGAAACTCATTAAAATGAGCGTTTGTTTTACGGAAAGTTTTAAGGCCGATGAAAAAAATATACTGAGTAGGTATGTAATTGGCTAATGAAAGTTAATATGGAGATACTTATGTAGTATGTACCTACACAGGTATGTATGTATGTAGATGCATGTATTTTGAGTTTTGGGTTTAACAATATCCCTCTAATCTTGACAGATATGAGAAAATTTAAAATTATTTAAATACAAAATTTCACCCATAAAATAAATAATTAGGGATAAATTCGTTCTTAGATTATTCATTTTACAGTACGCCCTCGATAAGAAACAAAGCCCGATTAACGCAATACCTCGGCTAATGCAACACCCAAAATGTTTACCATTAGTGACTCAGTAATTGCAATTTTTCAAAAAATGCTGCCCCAGTAAACACAACCTTCTATCCATAATTTCTTATTTGGTTTAATTTTTGTCTGCAATGGACTGAAGAAAAACCGAATTCAGCAGAAGACCCCGTAACTCTTCAAAAGCTGAGAGAGTCGACCGTAGACAAAAATGTATGCTCAAAGAAAATACAAACAACCCTGCAAAACAAAGTTCCAGAAATCTTAAAGAAATCGTTAGGAGCTTCATATAATATTTTTACCAAATCGTATTGTATGTTCATTTGTATCAAGGAATTAAAATGGAATTAACGGCAAAGAATCAGGTAAAGCAATGATGACAAAACCTTTACTTTCTATTTTTATAAATTTGTTTAAGCTTATTTTATATCGTGGCTTGGCGGGTGTATCCGCCGGAGTTATAAACTTTTTAAAGGTGGCCTAACTGACCCAGGGACTTCGGACTTAGAGGTTTATTCCCCTACCAGATTTTCCGACAGGAGGAAGTATACTCATTACAGATGGTTCTGAATTGTCTAGCTTCTATCGTCAGCTCCAAATGAAAAAAGTTTACAGAAGAAAAACCTTTATGCCGCGCTGAAATAGCCGGCCAACTCGGAAAATCTTCTGCTGCGAAGATTGCGAAGATTGAAAAAATCACCTTCTTACATGCATGCTTAAGCGACTTGTGATTTCCCATAAAAAACCAAGGACAGCGAACACACACACGCACTTGTGTTTAACAATCGATTCACTCGTACTTAATAGGTACAGCGAACACCAACATGAATGTGCATAAAGGGTTATGCATTTTTTATGCAATTATCAATTATTTCTTCGCTACACGTATTCAGCTAATAAGTCGCTGGCATTCCCAACCATGGTCAACGCTAACCCAGCTTGACACATCACACGATGCTTGACACGATCTATCACCTTCGCTCCACTACCACCATATGTGCTCATTGAGCTCGATAAGTACTGTTAACAAAAGGTAATCCGTACCTCCTCTAACTCTATCATCACTTTAAACGTCGTATGAGGAAAGAACTGGATCGTTACGATTTTCGAAAAATAATGAAAGAATTTTTTCGCGAAGGGGAAAGAATTTTTTTTAGCGAAAAAAGAGAAATCACCTCTGTTTTTAATTTATTGTGGATTGTGAGGAGAATCGAGGACATGATTAGCTTTTTGCAAAGAGCAGGTGCAAAAGTTTAATTCTAGGGTGTAATTGTGCTAAGCCATATACATATGTACATATATGCATGAATATGGATGTTCTTGTCGTTTGTATTTCACTGATGCTGGGGAGATATTGCGCGCAAAGCTAGATAATCTGATATTCCGGACAGAATCAGAGTCACTCAACTAGAATGTAATAACGCCCATGCAACAATCGGACGGTTTCTTAAAAAGCACAACAGCAATATCCTATCTGTTCCTCAAGACGGGGTTTCGGTTGTGAAAATGTCAAGTGCTCGTTTTGACGTAATCATAATGGTACTAAATACCTATTATCAGCGATTAATTTTGTCAGGAAAAATATTTACTCGGAACAGATCTTACATTATACATAAATATGTATGTATTTATGAACAAAATGTTTTTGAAGTGTAGAAATACTTGTGGCCTGAATTCATGGCTGTTATTTCGGTAGAAATTTTTGCTCAAAGGTGGCCAGTACGGGCGGAAGAGATTGAAAAAATAAGGATATTGTGGATTTATTTCCATGTATTGATCGTATTTGTTGTAATTTTTACAAGGAAATAAAAGAAGCAACACTTCTTAATCATGATTATATGAGCGATAATGAGAATAGTCAAAGAAAATGAATGAATGAATCCAAATCACGACACTATAAAGTTTTTACATGAAGTTCTGGCCTTTAAAAAATCTAAGGATCTATATCATAAGTACACACAAACATGTATCTGACTGCCAAAATTTGGGTTCTGCAAGTTTTGACACTTTGTTAGAGTACCTCTACGAATGATTTCCTGAAAAGAGTGATTTTCGGAGTTACATATCGTCGTTTAAAGTGCAAAACCGCGTATCAACAAAATGCAAAACCGCGTATCAGCAAAATGCAAAACCGCGTATGTGAACTTGTAGAAATTATTTTCTAGAGCGTAAAAACACTCATATTTCGAAATGGTACTCTTTTTTTATAAAGCCATTGCATTTCTGGCTAGTATATTTCAGGACGAATGGATAAGGATTGAGCCAAGCGCTTGTGTGAGCAAATCTAATTTTTGGCAGCCAATGTCAGTTGCGCGGTTTTGCAGAATGACGATACGCGGTTTTGTACTTTAAACGACGATATGTATGTCGTCGTTTAAAGTGCAAAACCGCGTATCAACAAAATGCAAAACCGCGTATCAGCAAAATGCAAAACCGCGTATGTGAACTTGTAGAAATTATTTTCTAGAGCATAAAAACACTCATATTTAAAAATGGTTGTCTTTTTTATAAAGCAATCGCATTTCTGGCTGGTATATTTCAGGACGAATGGATAAGGATTGAGCCGATAAGGATTGAGCCAAGCACTTGGGTGAGCAAATCCAATTTTTGGCAGCCAATGTCAGTAACGCGGTTTTGCAGAATGACGATACGCGGTTTTGTACTTTAAACGACGAAAAATTAGTGTTTTTAGAAAATAATTCTGCAACTTCACATACGCGGTTTTGCATTTTGCTGATACGCGGTTTTGCATTTTGTTGATACGCGGTTTTGCATTTTAAACGACGATATGTATATATGTATCTGACACCACAGAATTGATTCTTAGATTTGTGTATATTATTCAGATTTTTCTCTCGCAAGTTTCGGCTTTGATTTATATTATAGCATATAAAAATTCTTAATGTAAACGTTAGTTTAAATCGATGCTTAATATATACGAGTACATTGTGTATGTAGGTAGGTATGTACTATGCTCGAAAGCAGCATTAAACTACACACCATAGATTGAAGAACAAGTTCGGCTTAAGCAACGATTTGAATTTCCGGCAATAGACGCACAGTGTATAAGAGTATTTGCACTTTAAATACAATATTTTGGATTTTTTTTTAATTTCCGTCTTGATTTGAATACAAGATACATATGTATTTGTTTAATTTTCATCTACATTTCACACAGACACTAAATATGTATTCAATTCATAAAAGAATTGTTTAACACATAAAAGGTTTTTTTTTTGTTTTTATTCTTTCAGCAGACCTTTAACGATTTTCAATCACAATTATATTTGTTTTGTAGTAGTTTGTCTGTTATTCGAAATATAAACAACGATGGTAATATTAACGGTTAGAAACGGCGCCCAGCGATTTGCGGATCAGAAATTATTACGTGTTTGCCACCGACCGACAGAAGCGAAAAGCGCCACCAAAAACACTTGACAACCTGCACAACGAAGCACTCGCAAGCTCCCCATTCGAAATCCGCGTTGGAATTGAGCAGCAATTCTAAACGTCGCCAAACGCGGCAACTATGTGTGCACTTGTACATTCGGCGGAGCAACCAAAGCGAAGGTCTGCCGGTTTGTTGGACAATGAATGGCGTGGATTTTCGAACATCGTAAATCATACCACGCTACGCTATGTCCACATTGGTGAGAGCAGGATAAAATGTTGTGTAGGGATCTCGAAAATATTGCCTTTGCAGTTGCGCAAACAGCAGGCTCCGCCTGCTTTGTTGTATGTAAGAGACAAGGGTGGAAAGTCCAATGGCGAGAGCAACGTGCCGATTGGTGTAAGTGAGAAGGTTTGTTATGGATTTCGTGGTTGTTGTTGGTATGTTGCATGGAATTACTCAAGGGGGCTCGGAAAACAGGTTGTTTTGCCAAACAGATGGGGTAGAAAAGAGGAAGCAGTTCAGTGGCAGAATTTTCCTGCTTTCTAACAGAAAAGCAACTGGGCAACAATGCTGGTTGAAAATTCGCTGTTGTACTTACATATCAATATGAAGGAATGGAGGTGTCGTTCATTAAGTCGATGTTTGTGCTCGACATTAAAGCGCCAGCAACAGTAGGAGCTTCAAACCAGATTAGTACTGCTTTGAATAAAACAATGGCGATGATGATGTTGCTCATTGGGAGTTCTTAAAGATCATCATGAGCATAATTGGTACGTCTGCAACAGCTGTGCGGTATTGTATTGTTATTAGTATTTGTATTCAATAGCTGGCGCTATTGCCTTAAATCACCGTCACATTATTACTTTCCATTATAATTTTATAACGCAATCATTTTCATTTTTATTGGCCTTAGATCGCTGAAAAAACTTTCATGCATAGAATTTTGAATAGAATTTGCGAATACATATGAATGTGTGTACCTTCCTATGTACATATATGTACTTACATATATAAAATACACAATCTAAGGGCATTTACTTTTGATTAACAGAACATTACTTAAGCAGAACACCACATATGTGTAATTATGTACCTAGTATGTACATATGTGCATACCAACATACATATGTATGTATGTATGAATTTAGGTGTTTACAGGCCCGTCGAGAGGGAAGGGGCAAAGGGGTGAATCCTCCCGGGCGCGGGCTTCTTAAGGTGCCCAAAATATCAGAACCATAGCTTTTTGTTTTTTTTTTTACAATGTAATTGCTCCTTAGTTATAGGATTTTATTATAAATATTACAAATATATTCCGATTGGTGCTAATTGTTTCTGACTCTATAAATTAAAGAAAATGATCATATGGACAAAAAACGCGCACTGTTACAATACGTTTTGGCTCACAGTGCTTTTCAAACACCGCCTCTAAAGTAACCGTGGCGCGTGTGTGTAGACACTGCCTTAATATATACCTAAAATATATTGTACCTCCTGTTGTTTAGGAGTTATAAATGTTTCAACAGGGGACTGTGACATTACAATTTCTGGAAGTACCTACTTTTTAAAGCTGCTTTATATTTTCGAAAAAGACTGCTCCCCTAATATAACTCAAGAATATGCGTAATTTATTAAACTGATTAAATTAATTTAGAGGTTAATTCTGTTACGTTACCTGTGTGATATACCCCAGTAAAAGAGTTATATGTGCAATATGTTCTTCCTCATTTTCGTTCTATGCAATAAGGGTAAAATATGTTGCTGTATCCGATTATAATAGCCTTTAGCTTGTAAGGATTTTCATATGATTAGTTGATGTTCCTTTATAATTTTAACTACCGTTATCACAAAAAAATTGTTAAAGTTCAATAGTAAATAATTGTATGTGCAAAATGAACTATTCGGCTTCCGCCTGCTCCAGTGTCAAAAAATTTAAACAGAAACCTACACCAGTGAATGTGTGGTGAAAATTAAAACATATAGAAGCTATTTTCATAATAAAAACAGTTTTATTATTTTCCCTAGTTATATTATGGCCCACAATATCCCGTGGCATTGAACTATCTGAAGAGGAGCCCGGAAATACAAAAGGAATGAATTTTTGTGGCATAAAAATTAGTGAATTAACTGCTGAAGTAATCGGACAGTAGAATATAATAAGAAGTTCCTTTAAAAATCCCGACGACTATGGAAATATCCAACCCCAAAAGTGTGGTGCAAATGATTTACTAAAGGTTAGCTACTAGGAACATCATGATTTACCGTAAAAATTGAAATGTATTTGAATCTCTCTGTCACAAGTAAAAGTTCACAATAAATAATAAACAAAGTTTTTGTACTTAGGGTGAAGAAATAAATCGCTAAACCATAGCCTACTCTATGGCACGAAATGCGTTTTTAGCATTTTACAAAAATTACAAATTTTGTAGGAAGAATTGAAAAACGCTATTTTCAGTGATGAAAAAAACTTCAATATAGATGATCCAAATATTGGAGAGTCATTCGGCTTCCATGGCAAACCTGCCCTTGGCTAAAGGGAGCTCTGATTTCTATACCGTGCGTACAACAAAATCGTTATTCAAGGAACAAAATACCTTCTTTTAGAGTAACTAGCTTCAAATATGGGTTTTAATACCACTGGGGATTTGTAAGATCCACTTCTCAACAAGATTTTTAGTTATTCAAAACAGAATGATAACGTGTTAAAACTTAAATAAACCAACACGGACACGGCAGCTTAAGTGGCCGTAACTCTTGAAGGAAAAATCTTATAGCACCATCCGAGATTGCATTTTGAAGGCTAATAATAGTACTAGAAAAATACTTGAAATAATTCCAATAGATTTTTATTATTTAATCATAAAATCGTCTTATTCCTTTACCTTCTTATTTTGCCTCCTTTGACCTCGTTCCTTTTTGAAATAATACAATTTTCACGTTTCTGAGCCTATTTGAGTTAGAGAGAATATAAATTTTCACTATGGGTCAATAGTACGTTAAATAGTTTGTTTACAATTTTGCTTTCAAATAAGCCCTATCTCTAACTAAATAAAAAATAATTTTAACTGAAAATTCAATTAGTAAAAAAGACTTACGTTACAAATAGTTTTACACCGAAAACGTATGGATAATTAAGAGTATAGGAAACTGCTTTATCTTATTGTAAAGAAGACCGAAAATGCCCGAAGAAACCCATTTTCCATTTTTAGTCTGGTGGATTCCGCGCCAAACCACTTTTTGATATTTTGAATTTTACGTTACATTAAAAAATACTGCCGACTTTATTTTCATTTACATAGAAAGCTAATCGCTGATTTTTTGTTGAGTACTTTTGTATTAACTTGAAAGTAATACAAAGCAAGCGAAGAGAAGCAAATATTTATAGCGCAAAAAAGTGGTGGTCCTCAAATATAAAGGGTAACTTTAGTTTCATGTTGTGCTTTTTTAATTTTCATTAATTTAAAGGTGTCTCAGGATTAAGTGAATTTTCATGTTTCAGAGAAGGAGATTCGTGTTAATATTTAGATACCTCACAATATGTATGACCCAGATATAATCAAAAATCTGCGTAACCTGAGAAAAAAATTCGATTTCGTTTTCGGCGATTTGGGCCATATGCTCTTAAATTAATACAATTTATATATAGGGGCCCAAATTTTCTCTCGACGGCCCTGGGTAGGTAAGACAAATGTTAATCGAGATCCCGGCCTTTTTTAAGTCTCGAAAATTTCCGGGATTTGTAATTTACACTGGTGGCAATAATAGGAACGCTTTGTGTTGACCAGTTTTGGCTACATTTCTTTTGTTTATTTACTATTAAACATTTTTTTATAAATGTGTACCTCAATATACATATAATACCTTGCGGCAGGCAATTTTGCACACAAAAAAATCAATATATTCGCCAAACCAAGGGCCAAATATAGTAAAATTGCGTTCTTAATTATTTTCTTTGAAATTTGAAAGATATGAGTAATTCAAAAAATGAGTTAAAAATTTCACTGCAATATGATTAAGAAACCAGAATGGGTATCAAATGAAAGAGAAGATTCTGTAGATCATGTTCTTATTTTTGAAAAAATTTCATCTTCATCTTCATCTTCATCTTCATCTTCATCTTCATCT